GGAGTCTCCAATTTTTATTATAATTAACTACATGTAGATATCTAGCAAGGCTAACTAGTATTTTACTGGTTAAATATATATCAAAGGGTTCAGATTAAGTGAGATGGGGTCAAAGGCATGTTTCACAAATATATTCTGTGTTGTCATTTTGGTTTAGTTAAAATTATACTTAAAAGAAATAAAAGAAGGTCAGGATGTTCGTTCATTTGGAAGCTGTCTCCAGTGTACATGAGCATAATCATGAATTTCTCTAACAGTGCCTCTACCTTAATTGAGAAGGTTTGATGATGACACAATATAAACACATCATTTAAAGGGGCTGGGTGGTTGTGGCCATTTTTAGACTATTTTGATCGCCTTTAGAAGAAGAGCTCAATGTAAAGATATAACAAAATGATCAAATTTAAAACTAAACACATGCTAAAATTTATGTAATTTTTCTTTGCCAAATCATAGTTGACAGCTTAAGATATCATATCCCAAAATTTAAATTATATCTGGTGGTTAATAATTGTTGACCCCCTAGCCTCCCTAATGTCTTCTCTCCCTTTAACTGCATAAAGGCCATGTATCTTATATACCGGTAGTTGTGTTTAGTAAATGAAAAGTTTTACCATCTTAAGTAAACATGAAAAATCAGGGAAACTTATTTTACTAATTTATTTATTGTTTCACAAATGTTGATTATTTGCTCAGAGATTAATTTCAGCACGGGATTGTAATTCCTGACAATGTTCTAAAATATGGGTCTAGTCACTTGTTTAATATTTATACAAGAAGAGAATTTTGGGTATTTAAATATAATTCTACAAATAAAAGACTATAAAAAGAAATTAAATAATAATAATAATTTATAGGCTAATTGAAGCACTGTAAACAAATAAATAAATTAGGAAATTAACATTTATTCTTTTGAGTTATCTTTCTCATTCGGAAAAGTGAACCTTAAAATAGGTTAAAACCTTAAATACCTTAAAACTTTATTTTCCTGAACTTTTACCAATTTTACTCAAGTTATTCAATTTGGCATTGGGAATGAGGGACAATTTACAGAGTTCTTCAGGTGCTAGTCAATGCAGGCTCATTTGAATACAGTTCACAGTGCTGGTACTTTCTTTGTATTTTTCTTATGACACATGCTGTATGAGTGGTCATGCAATAATACATGTAATACTAGTAAATAAATCAAAAATAAATAATAAAAAAAAAAATAAATAAATAAATAAAAAAATAAATAAATAAATAAATGAATAAATAAAAAGGGTTATAATGAGACTTATAAGGTTTACACTGGGGCTTTTTGTCAGTGTTGGTTTCTGCTGCATCTCTTAAGTTGTGAAATAAATAGATTTGGTATTTCACAGAGATAAAAGTTGTTTTAGTTAAAATTTTATATTCACAGTTTTTAAACTCACAAAGGGTATAAATTGTTTAGGTAACTAGTTTTCTTTATCACTTAAACAGTAAAGGCGAGATTATCTAACTACCTAACAGATTAGGGGGGGGGGGCACATATTGTTCCACAGGCTAGGTTAGTCAATCTAATCCATTTCCTACAATATTTTCTTTTTAATAGTACGCAATTACTGTTAGAAATTAAAAGACATATGCATATCTCAGGGGCATTTTCCCAATTAAAATATCAGTTCAAACCTAGTTCCCATTTGCATGTAATTTGATAGGTGTTTATCCCTCATCATCATAATTATTTTATTTTACTTTGCACATTTATCTCGTATGGGATTAAGATGCATTAGTTGGTGCATATATATGTACATGCAGTGTACATCCATGCATGAGCTAGTGGGTACAAATACAGGTTAGCTAGGGGATACAAATACAAATCCACATGTGTGTAGGAGTTAGAGATTCATGATACTGTACTAAGATTAGATAAACTTCTCCAGCATTTTAGGGTATTAGATAATGGATAGGTTTCCACTGACTAAGCATATTAATTATCATGCTCTCTATCATATATCCATTTTCTACAGCCTTATTGGCTTAAAAAGATTTAAAAGTCTGTAATTTTAATAATTAAATATAATTTTAATAACCTATTCCATAGAATATTTTTGCAAAGGGGGGGGGGAGCTTAAGGTGTGATAAGTAAGATTATGCATTTGGATAGAGCATCAGCTTGGAAGGGGTTTAGAATAAAGGATTTAATCATATGTGCCTTCAATGTCTGCTACAGTCTAATTACATTTACAAATGAGTAATAAATACAAAGTCCTCTATAGTGTGTCTTGGTTTGAAAGGTACTTGTATACAAAATTTAATCAATTTTGAGCTTGTTTTCAAAAATAAGTGGTACATGTATAACATCATTCCCTCAGAAATGGCAAGTTACATTACCAAATATCACAAAACATGTTCTGCAGTTTACAAATTGGTAATGTGAACACTTTTATTGTCAACAATACAGGAGCAGCATAATCATGCTGAAAGGAAAAAAAGGGGGGGGGGGGTAAAGAGTAAAGGTGCTCATTAATTTTGTTTGTAATCTATGCATTAAAGTATTTTACAATTTTAATTTTTCAAATCACCTAAAGAATAAATAAGAAATAAAATTCAAATTAATAAACAAACAAATAAAAAAAAGGGGGGGGGGGTAAATCTAAATAAAACGTATTTTCTACATAATTTTCTTACATAAGTCCAGGTAATAGTTCTTTCTTGCCAGTTGGATATTATTAATAGAAACATAGACCCAAAGCAATATAATACTAGTAACTTAGAAAGATGTAAATTCAGGAGGGGGAAGGGGTTAGGTACCATTAATTTGAAGGGAGACCAGAATTATTTTTGTGCAGGATAGTTCTACAATGGGTTGGAAATGATAGAGAGTGATGTTCACGATGGATGAGTTGCTGAGGGTATTGAGTAGGCTAGGAGTCCATGGTGGGTGGTTAAATTGAAGTTGCCTACCCCCACCAGGTGGCGGTGGGCACCTACGGTGCCCATGTGGCGAAATCGTCACCTTCAATTTAACCATTGAACTGTTGATTTTGTTGACTTTTTGTGGTTGATGTTGATATATGTGATGGTTGATGTTGATATATGTGATGTTGACTTTGAAAATTATATCTTATACAATGTAAAGCTAAAGCAAAACAATATAATTAAAAGATAATTTGTGTTGAAATGTGTCCGTAGCACGATTGAGGTCAACCCAGCGTGCTACTTTTCCCGTCAGGAAGGGCACAACTTATGTTGATTTTGGGGTATGCCATTTTGCCGGCTGCCCCACTGTTGTGTAGACCACTGTGGACAATACCTGCCAACTCGAATAAAACATTAAACTTAAATACTTAGCATTTGTTTATTATATATAGGTCTTTGATAATACCGCATATTTGAGTTCATCTCACAATATGCGCCGTTATCAAAGCTCTATCCTTGTATTATATGTCATCATTCACCTCCTTTTTGTGGAAAAAAACAAATAAATGTGATAAGCCGGAATTTATTTATCCATCCATACAGAGTCGGTACTTAGTCACTAGGTTTACGGGTTATCTCCCCTTTTCTATGAATCAATGAAAGTGAAAGGTGGGTGATGAAAGTATCCAATTTATTTTTTTGTATTATGAAATACCCTCCCACCTCACCCCTTGAGCTAGGCGTTAAGTATATACCCTTTCTCCTTTTGTTTGTTTAAATCACGTTTTTCATTGCTTTGCATGGTTTTGCTTTACCAAATTTATTAAAGTTATGCAAATGTTATTGAGAATCTTTTTCTGCTGTGGGTTTTTGTTTTTGTCTTTTCAGATATTTAAAGATTTTTTTGAAGGAGACTGACGATGCTGATCAGAATTGCCTGCTATTTCCGTATTCTGGGACCTTTGCAGTTTGGAATGATCTCTAGCCGAATGCGATGCGTGACATGGGTCAACTTGGCGAATTATCCATGCGAGGAGTTCGGGGAAAGACAGTAGACTATACTTCACAGTGGTCGTATTGGCGAAATCGTCACCTTCAATTTAACCATTGAACTGTTGATTTTGTTGACTTTTTGTTGTTGATGTTGATATATGTGATGGTTGATGTTGATATATGTGATGTTGACTTTGAAAATTATATCTTATACAATGTAAAGCTAAAGCAAAACAATATAATTAAAAGATAATTTGTGTTGAAATGTGTCCGTAGCACGATTGAGGTCAACCCAGCGTGCTACTTTTCCCGTCAGGAAGGGCACAACTTATGTTGATTTTGGGGGTATGCCATTTTGCCGGCTGCCCCACTGTTGTGTAGACCACTGTGGACAATACCTGCCAACTCGAATAAAACATTAAACTTAAATACTTAGCATTTGTTTATTATATATAGGTCTTTGATAAATTACAATATATACAAGTCTTAAAAAATCTCTTCTCATTCAAAAGTTATGACCAATTATAGTTAAAGTTCTTTGAAAAGTAGGTCAAACTTCAAGGTCGAGATCAGGAGATCAGCAATCAAAGTGTGTTTAGAAAGGTCTTATCACAGATAGCACACGTGTTTAATATGAAAAATCTCTTCTCATTCAAAAATCTATATGGCTGCGGCGGCCATGCTTAAAGTTTTTGTGACAGACGGACAGACGAATGAGATTTAATGTCCCCTCGCTTTTGCGAAAGCGGGGACGATTAACAGGAAGCTATCTTGACATATATTATTTTATTATTACTAATAGATAAATGGCATGTTTTAAGACATTGCATCTCCAATTTCATTTTGGTGACACATTGATTTTGAGAAAAACAAAACCAGGAAGTCGTCTCATTTTTCATTTTAATAGCGTGCATGACATATAATTAAAAACAAGGTCCGTATACAAATATCGTCATCTTGTTTTCGAAAATAAAACAACACCAATCTTAAATTAAAGGTTTGTTTCTTCAACTTAAGATATTTCTGCATAAAGCCACATATTTATGTCTTTTGAGAGAAATTCTATAATTTTACCTTAAATATTAGTTTTCAGGACTAACGTTAAAGAAATGTATTCGAACATGACATTGTTCCTTATGTCACTCTGTTGTATGATGGTCATTACTAGAGCCGACTCTCCAAAGCCAAAGACCTTCCGCCATGACTATGTAACATATAAAAATGTTTGACGGGAAATGGACTGGATACCAAAGTGCGATATTGTCATAACTCATAAGGAAACTGGGGGAGGTAACTCACTAGTATTTATTTATGAAAAATTCATTTTGCCTTCTGCCTGGAAGTAAAAACTATAATTTCAAATTCAAAAAATCCATAACATGCATATTTTTTTGTCATTTAAGTATCAGTCACATTATCCAGCGATTGGGTATACGATGAGAAACCGATGCATTTTTTGATGAAAATAACTTGGTTGCCAACCGGGCACCACTAGTGATCGGACGGTGACTGACGCCATTTTGCGAATCGGTGGGGTCATCGGTAGGAAATAATTCGTAGTTAAAATTCAGGGATGTCTCCAACGATGCCTCAGATCGCTCCTCATCCTCAACCCATCGCTAACACATCTTTCAAGGATCGGCCGATGTATGGCCGAGCATCGTCAAGTGTCCGTTGAATCTGAGGTCTTCGGGGGGTTGAGTAGTGTTCAACAGATAACGGCCGATCATCTGTCGATGTTCAACCAAACATCGGCCCGATATTCGAATGATGTTCACCAATGTATGAGCGATGTAATATACATCGGTCAATTATCCTGGAACATCGTTTCATGATTTGCAATGCATCGCTGGGCCTTTGTAAGTCCGGCCGGCAACCACGTCATTTTTATCATAAAACGCATTGGTTGCCCATTGTATACCCATCGCTGGATAACGTGACTGATACTTTAAGGACTACTTGGCCGATGTGGACCGATGTTGGAGCATAGTTAATGCCTAGGTCACATTTCCCGGCCGGTAGCCGTAGACCGGTGGTAATCGTTGGTAATCCGTTGCAGCAATGTAGTCAAAGAAAGCACGACAGTCTTTAGAAAGCCTTGATGTTTGCTGCAAGTTAGCAGCAAGTCTGCAGAAAGCTTGCTGCAATTATTTTTCCATGCAAATGAGGTTTGTTGCAAGTCTGCAGCAAACACTGGATTTTCCAAATGTGGCTTGCGGCAAACATTGCTGCTAGCTAATGCAGCAAACAATTTTCTTATGGTTTTGGCACATTCATGTGTACAAGCAGCAAGTTCGTAGAAAGCTTTTGTCCTGACTTAAATCTGTTGATTTTGGAGGAAATCCACCACATGTTTCTGAAATGATACAAGGCTCTCTTTATGTTCCTGGACAAAGTTTTCATACTTTTTGAAAATTAAAGTGCATTATAGCTTTTTATATGAAAAGAACATTAAGAACTTTACATATAATTTTTAATTGAATATTACCGTGATTAGACAGCTACTAATCAATTTGAAACATTTAATTGATTCAGGTCCTTTGATTTATTTAAGAAGTATACATATGTGATATTAAAAGAGGACTGAAATTCATAATAAATAAAGATTTAGATTTGACCTAGCGTTTACACAAGTTACTCAAATGAGCTATTAAGAAATACTCTTTTAAATATCATATTTAAACAAAATAATTTCTTACCAATTAGATATCATGGATGCCAATGAACACCTACATCCAGAGTTTGACACTTTTAATCATTCAAAACGGTGTATAATCCTAACAAAATACTGAGATTTGTCAACTTCAATTTAAACATTTCAAAATGGCTAGTTCTGTGTTGATCCCAGTGCAATCTGTATTTCATTGGCTGATTTGACTTGTTAACTTTTTTTGCGAACTTCCTGTCAACATTCGAATTATGAAATGTTTCCTGCGAACTTGCTGCTAACATCAAATTGGTGTGTATGTTTCTTGCAATGTTCTCTTCAAACATGTTGGGTTCCTACGAATTTGCTGCAAGCTTGCAGCAATTGCTGCATCTCTGCAAACATGTTGGGTTCCTATGAATTTGCTGCAAGCTTGCAGCAATTGCTGCAATGTTTGCCGCAAGATTGCAGCTAGCGGCAATCATCTGCGAACAAGAATTTTTTTCCTGCGAACAATTTTGTTTGCTGCAAGCTTGCAGCAGACTTGCTGCAGGCCTGCAGCAAACATTTAAGGAATGTTTTTTAGTTTTGTGTGAGTTATTGGTGTGTGAATCACACAGACTTGTCACGTAGGCATATTTCATGAAGCGCGCTAGCGCTTCATGAAAAATATGCCTATGTGCAAGTCTGTGTGATTCACACACCAATAATTCACACTAAACTGAAAAAAACATTCCTTATATTTACATTTTACCAGTTTGGAGGCCAAAAAAATATACCCAATATTTGAATTTCTCGCTGTCCTATTTTATTGCATTTTACTATAATCGCTGCAGTCTCATTGTGACGTCACGTTAACGCACGTTTCTCCGTGTATATTTCTACGCGTGAGTATACACAAAAATGAATTTCAAATCAATTTCACTGTAAGCTTACTAGAAAAACACAGCGAATGTTAATATATCAGTTTGGTAATCATCGTCAAGTGTCCGTTGATCTGAGGTCATCTAGGGGATTGAGCGGCGGGCAGCAGACATCGGCCGATCATCGGTAGATGTTTGACCAAACATTTGCCCATAGCCGACCGACGTACGAACGATATTCACCGGTCGATTACCCTGGAACTTTGTGTTATGATTAGCAATGCATCGCTGGGCCTTTGTACGTCCGGCGGGCAACCACGCCATTTTAAAAAACGGCATAGCTGGATAATGTGACTGATACTTAAAAGCACTACTAGGCAGATGTGGACCGATGTTAAGGCATTGCTCACACCACGGTTTACCACCGATTACCAACGGTCTACGGTCATTGACGGGGAAATGTAACTCGGGCATTATTACATGTAACCATGTTGGATACAAATTTCAAACAGAACACTGACGAATAAACCATTCGATAAATATGTTAAAATTCAGAAGAAGTTCCATACATTTGATTTGCCAGCGGAATTAATTCAATTAATCTTTATTGAGTAATGTCAAAAAGTAGTATATTATTTTACATATACAGCCCTAGGCCCATATGCTAAATGTATTTAAAAAATATTTAGCATATGGGCCTAGGGCTCTATATGTAAAATAATATACTACTATCTGACATTACTCAATAAAGATGAGCCCTAGGCCCATATGCTAAATATATTTAAAAAATTTCAGGTTGTCGGGGAAAGATTGTGGCATTTTATGCTATTCTATCTAAAACACTTAACAGAACAGCATCCCAATAAATACAGTCATCAAGTTTGGAAATGTATTGACCAATGAGGGAGGAGGATACAACCCAACAACAGATAAATTTACCGCACCAGAGGATGGCGTCTATTCGTTTTCCTGGACATACTGCACAGACAAAGGATCCACTACGTACATAGCTGGTATCGTAGATGGAACCACTCGTGCATACATATCCAATGCTAATCAGGCAAATGGATGGCAAAATACATCAGGGCACCTTGTCATAAAACTGAAAAAAGGAAACCAATTTTGGGTTCAAACCATGACCAAAATTTCCAAACTCATTCATGAAAGTTACACGTTCCTGTCTGGGTACAAGTTGTCTGGTTGTTAATCTATGGAAATAAATTTTCCAACATATTTTTCTTTATTTGAAACATATTTTGTTGATATTGCTCCTGGAGTTTTCTTTTCTGAAGCATGGAGATAACGACAGCATTCAAGCTCAAAAGTCCATAAAACAATATAAAAAAAGAGCGGAGCAAAACATATCCAAACACCAAAGGTAAGATCCGATGCCAAGAAGGAATTAGCATCCTCTGTATACCGGTCACACCCGCCGTGTGCTTTTTGTCATGAACGGGAAAAAGCCGTCTTTAATTCAGTATGTAAATAATGTACTGACAATTAGGACTGATAATTAGTATGAAAAAGTCAGTCAGCATTTGACTCAATGATAAACCGTATTTGTTGACAAGGTCATTGTTTCTACTATAGAACTTAGGAAATGATGACTTTAAAAACAAGACTGTTGATATTTTTGTTTCATCAACTTGTTTGTCAATAATTTACCTAGTTTTAGAAATTGTTCATAGGTAGAGCATTCTCTTGCGTAACCGAGAGATATATATCCCATATGCAGGTATATTGTATATTGTTTAACGTCCCTCTCGAGAATTTTTCACTCATATGCAGTTGAAAGTAAAATATCTAAATATTAAACGGATGTCTCCGATTCTGTTGTATTTTTTACCTCAAGCTCACCGGGATTTATATTATCGACATAAGAATGGAAATAACTATTGTTAAGTAACAATAAGTTGTCGATATACTAATGCCGAGTTAAAGACCACAGCAAATGTTTTCTTCTTTTCACATGAATACAAAAATATGTCTACTAAAACGGGGCGCAATTGGTACCCATGGAAAATCTGATAAATTGATGAAAGAACTGGTCTATAAATACCATATAGGTATTGTCAATCAGAAACTCAAGCATCTTTACTTATGTCAACTTCAGAATTAAAATAAATTAAACATGTTGCAATGATGTTTGCCTATACATGTTAGTACACCTTATAAAAACGTTTTTTTCCTGTTAGAATTTAAAGGAACTTTTTTTCTTTAAAGTGCTGGTGCTTTCGTAAAATCAAGAGCATTGCTTAATAAATACAAAAAGACTTGTTTATGGTCAAACGTTGTATAACTAATTATTTTTGAAATTTGCATTATAAAATACGAATTCTTTTTAAGATCAGACGATACTTTCCCCAAATATTTGTTTCGTAGATCTTCATAATGTTTGGAAAATATACAAAATTAAGATTACTTTCTGATTTCCAAACATGTTTCTTATTGTTTTTAAAAATTTGAAATACTAAAAATGTGATGTTGACAAACTAAACTTTTATCCCCTAAAGGATTGTATAAGAAATGTCATCCTCTGGTATCTCGCACAAATGCATGGTAAGGTACCTCAATTTTTAGCTCTACTGGTCAGAGACCAAAAGAGCTTATGCGATAGTAATGCGTCCAGCGTCCGTCTGTCTGTCTGTCTGTCTGTCTAGCTGTCCGTCTGTCTGTAAACAATTTTTCAAAACGCTACTACTCCTACAGTTTTGGTCTGATTTCAATATAACTTGGCACACAAGTAGACTACACTAAGATACGTAGAATAGTGCATCGGTTTTCGCTTTCGATGAACGATGTTGCCATGGTTACTAAAAATAGAATTTTCTGTGAAATTCCTTTAAAACGCTACTCCTTCTACAGTTTTGGTCTGATTTCAATATAACCTGGCACACAATAGACTACACTAAGATACATAGAATAGTGCATCGGTTTTTGATTTCGATGAACGGTGTTACCTTGGTTACTAAAAATATAATTTTCTGTGAAATTCCTTTAAAACACTACTCCTTCTACAGTTTTGGTCTGATTTCAATATAACTTGGCACACAAGTAGAATACATTAAGATACATGGAACAGTGCATCAGTTTTTAATTTCGATGAACAGTGTTGCTATGGTTACTTAAAATAGAATTTTCTGTGAAATTCCTTTAAAACCTACTCCTTCTACAGTTTTGGTCTGATTTCAATATAACTTGGCAGACAAGTAGACTACACTAAGATACATAGAATAGTGCATTGGTTTTCGATTTCGATGAACGGTGTTACCATGGTTACTAAAATAGCATTTTCTGTGAAATTCCTTTAAAACCCTACTCCTTCTACAGTTTTGGTCTGATTTCAATATAACTTGGCACAGAAGTAGACTACACTAAGATACATAGAATAGTGCATCGGTTTTTGCTTTTGATGAACGGTGTTACCATGGTTACTAAAAATAGAATTTTCTGTGAAATTCCTTTAAAATGCTACTCCTTCTACAGTTTTAGATTGATTTCAAAATAAGTTGGCACACAAGTCGACTACACAAAGATACATAAAATAGTGCAATGGTTTTTGATAAGTACATACCAGTAGAGCTACAGTCTCGACAGAGACTTCTGGTTTGTGAGTCAACATGTTAAAGTAGTAATTCTTCAATGACAAATCTTGGAAAAAATTATATATTATTGAGGAACGTCGCGTCTGTCCTTAAAGCAGCAGAATAGAACCTAGAAACATGATATGTAAACATGTTTTTCACTCATTAAAAAAAATAATCAGTCTATGTCAAAGAAATTTAGCTGGAACTGTGTATCTGTCCCTTTAATCATATGCCAGATTAGAGTCTTTATCTTAAATTTACCTGTATATAATAGAGTGCTGCAAAAGATAAATGGTTAAACATGAAAAGTTTGGTTCATACTCCTACAGCTTTGGTCTGATTTCAAGATAACTTGGCACACAAGTAGACTACAATAAGATACGTAGAATAGTGCATCGGTTTTCGCTTTCGATGAACGATGTTACCATGGTAACTAAAAATATAATTTTCTGTGAAATTCCTTAAAAACGCCACTCCTTCTACAGTTTTGGTCTGATTTCAATATAACTTGGCACACAAGTAGAATACATAAGATTCATAGAATAATGCATCAGTTTTTAATTTCGATGAACAATGTTGCCATGGTTACTAAAAATAGAATTTTCTGTGAAATTCCTTTAAAACACTACTCCTTCTACAGTTTTGGTCTGATTTCAATATAACTTGGCACACAAGTACTCTACATTAAGATACATGGAACAATGCATCAGTTTTTAATTTCGATGAACAGTGTTGTTATGGTTACTTAAAATAGAATTTTCTGTGAAATTCCTTTAAAACCTACTCCTTCTACAGTTTTGGTCTGATTTCAATATAACTTGACAGACAAGTAGACTACACTAAGATAGTACATAGGATAGCGCATTGGTTTTCGATTTCGATGAACGGTGTTACCATGGTTACTAAAATAGCATTTTCTGTGAAATTCCTTTAAAACCCTACTCCTTCTACAGTTTTGGTCTGATTTCAATATAACTTGGCACAGAAGTAGACTACACTAAGATACATAGAATAGTGCATCGGTTTTTGCTTTTGATGAACGGTGTTACCATGGTTACTAAAAATAGAATTTTCTGTGAAATTCCTTTAAAACGCTACTCCTTCTACAGTTTTAGATTGATTTCAAAATAAGTTGGCACACAAGTCGACTACACAAAGATACATAAAATAGTGCAATGGTTTTTGATAAGTACAAACCAGTAGAGCTACAGTCTCGACAGAGACTTCTGGTTTGTGAGTCAACATGTTAAAGTAGTAATTCTTCAATGACAAATCTTGGAAAAAATTATATATTATTGAGGAACGTCGCGTCTGTCCTTAAAGCAGCAGAATAGAACCTAGAAACATGATATGTAAACATGTTTTTCACTCATTAAAAAAAATAATCAGTCTATGTCAAAGAAATTTAGCTGGAACTGTGTATCTGTCCCTTTAATCATATGCCAGATTAGAGTCTTTATCTTAAATTTACCTGTATATAATAGAGTGCTGCAAAAGATAAATGGTTAAACATGAAAAGTTTGGTTCATAAAGTCCTTGAAATGTGCCCAAGCTCTAGTCAATAAATCTACGTAGCTTTTGTGTAATTATTCCTATTACTGGTATAAAACAGAGTTTCCTAGGATGTTTGTATTATAAACAATTAAACTAAAATTATACCACAACTTGTTAAACACATGTCTGGAAATCTTACTTATCATACTCACATTTCACTTTTTAAGGATAAAAGGTGAGTGCGATCTGCCAGACTTATTCTGGATTCCTCAGCCTCATATGCATCCTTTAAAGAGAGAAACCCCATTGCCGGGTGAAGAAGATGCCCTACCAAAATCTTATCTTTACTCTTGCAATAAAAGATATGGAGGTAACAAACAGCAGTCAAGCTTATAAGTCCATAAAACAATACAAAATAGGAGCAGAGCAAACACGGACCTCCAAAAATCAAAGGTGGGATTAAGTGCCATGGAGGAGTAAGCACCGGTCACGCCTGCCGTGTGCTCCTTTTCGTGATCGGAAAATAACGGAAAAGTCCGAGAACAGAGAGTAAACAATGGACTAACAATTAGTATGAAAAAAGTCAGTTAGCATTTGACTCAATGATATATTGTATTTTTTGACAAGGTCATTGTAGCGACTAGAAAACTTACAAAATGATGACTTTAAGGTAATTCCATCCTCCTGTGATGTCATAGGTTTTTGCAAAAAAAAACTGTTGATTTAAGATCATACCCAATAGAACAAAGTATACTTTTTAAAAGGTGTAATGATAAATATTCTTAGGCAAATGTATATTTTTATTATTTAATCAATTATTTAATCTTTGAAAAATTGTGACAAGAGGAATAACTCTCATTCAGACATTTTCTTTATTGTACATTTAATGTTAAATACTATAGTAGTTATCCTGATATTCAGATTTAAAATTAACTTATAAGTAGCAATTATTTTGGATCTCTTACTGTCAGAATTATGCATTTGAACCAGTTTATACATAATACATTATATTTACAATACTATTTTTAAACAATTTACGATTTTTTCATGTTGACTTACACTTCTGTTTATTTATGTCTCCCGTCTTAAATGATATGGTTACCTATGATTTTTTTGCGATAATTGG